CAAAAGAGGACACCCTCTCCATTATGTCATTTATTTGAGATATATATTATTTTATTTTTATTTTTTTTAAAAGAATTAAATCAAAACATAATAAAAATGAACAGAGAGATCACTCTGAAAACTCCAAAAACGAAAGGTTCATGTTGAATAGGTAATGGAAGATCTCACAAGTGCGTGCCGCTGTATAAACTTGTGAAAATTAGATTAATATGCAAAAACCTAAGAAAAGTTTAGCTATTACATATTTCTGATCTCATTTGCCCAAAGAAGGTTAGTTATGGACATACAAACTTAAATCGAGTCCTCAAAATTTCAGCGACCATAATTCATACGGAACAATTTGAATACTCTCATCATTATGCAGATCAGAGATAACAATTAAATATCATGATTCAAGTAGCATTGGAAACTAGATAACATATGTCAAAATCAGCCATTATTAGCAACAAACAATATAACTTTTAAACTAATCGCAATCAACGCCTATAATCAAAACAAAGTAAAACTACCAATTATCAGCCACGGAAACTTCATACAGTCATACCTCAGGGTGATATCGGATCCCTCCTTTCATAGGTCTGCGGGCATTATCATGTTGAACCCGAAACCCAATAAAGGAAGCCAAATTCCCATTATCCTTATGCATAGTACACTCCACCTTAATCTCCCGAAAAGGGATAAAAAAATTCAGCTAAAATTTCGGCTAGAGCCACTCGTGCTGATAACGTACTGTAATATACCAAATAAATGAAACAAGAGACAAGAGAAGAAGAGAAATTATAATATTATTCATCTATTCTATTTCCATACATCGTACAATTTATAGATACATGATGGAATATAAAAAGACATCAAGTTAATAGTCCACATACATTTTGTCTTTTAGATATCAACAAAATATCTTTTAGATTTTAACAAAATATCTTTTAGATTTCAACAAAATATATATTTATGCATTTTGAAGATATAAATACTATTTATGTATTTTAAACTTACTATTATTGATTGATAATTGTTTACAAGAATGTTCTTTACTATTAAATAACTTTTGGTTAGACTATAATATATTGACAATTATTATTATAATGATGGTCTAATTATGGTGATAACCATAATAGAAAAGAAGTAAAGAAAAAAGAAATATAAAAAATAAAAAAATAAATATGTGTTCTAGTTTTTTACCACTAGTTCCAAGCTAAAACTTGGAATAATTTGAGAGACTAGAACTATCATTTTTTAATAGAAAAATAAAAAATGTAGAATAATTTTGTACCATTATCCCAATTCTAGTTTTGTTAGTGTTCTACTTGATTAACACTGTAAAATTTTGTTCTAGTTTTAGTTCTATGTGACTAATACCTTAAAATTTTATTCCACATATTATCCCAGTTCTAATTTTAAGTTCTAGGTGACTTCCTCCCTCCCCCTAAAAGAACAATGAGTGTCTCTCCAGTCTAAACAAACACCAACATAGACATCACTAGAGATTCAAAGAACAACAGTCATGTAGATATAACGCCCATTTAGGTCAACAACAATTCAGAATTGAACATAACATCTTAGACACAGCGCGAAAGAAATAAAAAAGTTAGTAAGAGTTAGTATGCTAATTGTAGATCAAGACGGGCTAGAATTACCAAAGTTAACAGCATTTTGCATATTGTTTACAAAATAAACAAATAAACTGCTTCGTTTGGGTACCATGGTGTTTTCTTTGTTGTGTTTTTATAAAAAAAAAACCATGGTGTTGTGTTTTTCCCTTAAAACGTTTTCAAAACATCATGATAAGTATTTGTGGTCAACGCTAGTTTGACCCATTACAACATTAGTATTAAACATATTATTAATATATTATATATTAATTCTAATAAATATATTAAAAATAAAATGTTATAATATTTAGTTTACATTATTATAGTATTAGAAGTATTAAATATGATGCAATATAAAATTGTATAATGTATTATAATATTATACTGTACTTAATGAATTATATTATATTATAATTATTACATATTATTTTCAAATAGTTATATATTTAATTATTTTAGTATATCAATTTGTTATTGTTATATATTATATTAATATTTCTATAATAATGTTATTTTAATAATAATATAATATTATACTATTATTAATATAATATAATATTAAATTATTATTCATATAAAATAATATTATTAATAATGTTAGAGTTTATTAATAGTAATTTCATAATATATTAATAATTTATGATATAAATAAATATTATTATATTATGAATATATTATTTTTACATTAACATTGGTTAGCATTAAATTATTTTATTTATTATATAATATATTAATATTTTATATATTATATTATATTAACTATACAATATATTATTATAAATTATTATCATATTATTATATTGTTATTTTATTTTAAATATGTTACTATTATATAATATTTTATAATTATTACTTTATTACAGTTTATTTATTAAAAAAGTTAATAATATTATAGCGATTATACTATTGTGTGGTATATTATTATATCATTATTATATTATTATTTATTATCAATAAATTTTTTATAATTTTTTATTAGTTTATTTATTTATTATTATTATTTATTATTATATAATACATTGTTAACATATTAAATTCTAGTATTTAATATGTTATCATATTGTTATATAAGATATTTTATTTTATTACATTTTTATATTATTTAATAAATATTACTAATATATTAGATTAAGTATAGTATAATAAGCATGTTGATAATAACTCTATATTAATCACATTTAATATATTATGTTAGAAATATTAACACATTCTCAAACTCCAAACCAAAACACCAAACTTGAAACACCTTTTAGTTGTTTTGAAATAAGTGTTGTGTTTTTTGTTTGAGGATGATTTAACCAAAAAAACACAATGGTTTTCAAACGCATGGTGTTTTGTTTTTAGCAAAACACCATGGAAACAAGTAAAACACCATGATATCTAAACTGAGCCTTAATAGTATGATTATTAGATTCATTATGAGACATTAAGCTAAAAATTAGCTTAATCAGCAGATTGGTATTATAATTAGCACATAAAAACCGGTTTGGTATTAAAAGAAAACCATGCAATAATAGAGTGTTCAAACTCGCACTGTAAGTTAATTTGGCCCAAAATTATTTTTTGCAGCAAAATCTCTAGTAGCCTATCATGTGATAGTTCATGGGTGCTTAGGTGACATGGTAGTAATAGTTAACCGCGTTGAATCCATTGCTAATAAAGGGATTTTAAAGTAGGGCAGAAAAATAAGGCTTTTGAATTTAGGCTTCCTTCTCTTTCTTCTATCAACTTCGGGCTTAATGAGTCTAGGTTGATGAAAGTGCACCCACCACCATCAATGTAAGAGAATCTCTGTACTTTTTCTATGATATCTCTATCCCCCTCCCTCCCTCCCTCTAGGCACATTGAGAGGAGAAAAGATGTAAAATTTGGTTAGGCATCAATTTTTAGGGTAGTTAATTTCTTATACTATCCTCTATCATGCCACACACATTTAATTTAAGGGAGCTACATAAGCATCACATGCTAGCTCTAATGACTTTTAAAAGAAGAAAGTAGTCAGATTTTCAAACTTTGGTCTAATTGTCTCGTCATACAAGTTTTAATATCCTGTTATTGCTGGATTTTCTTCTAGGATAAATTTTGAAAATAGACCCCTTTAGAAACATATTTTTAAAAAACGACAAATTTTGAAAATATTTGTCATTTTCGACCCAATTTCAATCACCTGGCTAAAACTGGGTCGGAAATGGTGAAAAAAATCATAAAAAACTTCACGGGATTTAAAATCCCGTGAAGTTTAAGCCCACATTAGCGCTTGGGTTACTGTTAATGAGGCCTTAAACTTAAAGACATTTAAAATCCCATGAAGTTTTTAATGTTTTTCTTCACTTTCGACCTAGTTATAGAATGGCAATTTTTTTAAAACGGGTTGTTTTTTAAAATTAAGTTTCTAAAATGGTCCATTTTGAAAATTTGTCATTAGGTTTCGTTTGGATATCATGGTGTTTTACTTGTTGCGTTTTTGTAAAAAAACACCATGGTGTTGTGTTTTTACCTTAAAATATTTTCAAAACACCATGTTAAGTATTTTTGGTCAACACTAGTTTGACCCATTATAACATTAGTATAAAACATATTATTACTATATTATATATTAATATTATATAATATATTATAGTTTTTAATATGTTAGAGTTTATTAATAGTACTTTAATAATATATTAGTATTTATGATATAAATAAATGTATTTATATTATGAATATATTATTTTTATATTAACATTTGTTAGCAATAAATTATTTTACTTTATAATAAATTATATTATTTATTACATAATATATTAATATTTTATATATTGTATTATATTTACTATACAATATGTTATTATAATAATCTTATTATATTGTTATGTTATTATTAAATATGTTACTATTATATAATTATTAATTCATTATAATTTATTTATTAAAAAATTAATAATATTATAGTGATTATCTTATTGTATAGTATATTATTATATTATTATTTATTATCAATAACATTTATTATTTTTTATTAGTTTATTTATATTTTATTATTATTTATTTATTATATAATACATTTAACATATTAAATATAATATAATAAGCATGTTGATAATAACTCTATATTAATTACATTTAATATATTATGTTAGATATTATATTCACACATTTTTCAAACTCAAAACCAAAACATCAAGCTTAAAACACCTAAAATGTGTTTTGAAATAAGTATTATATTTTTTATTTGAGGATGATTTATCTTAAAAAACACCATGGTTTCGAAACGCATGGTGTTTTATTTTTGTCAAAAATACGGTGGAAACAAGTAAAACATGAAACAAGTAAAACACCAAAATCACACGAGTTCGTGTTTTGTCGAATTGGTTCATCAAAAACAGAAGGATCCGACCCGAACCAGGTCCGGTTACCTTGCCCTCGTCTCCTTCACAAAACACCGTTCGATAAATCTCGGTTCGTGCCCTAAAACCCTCTTCTAAAAAATCCCGCCAATCCCTGCAGGTTAATCCCTTAACCTCCCCTTATCCCCCCTATTCTCCCCTAAAAACCCTAGCTATCGAACCTAGAAATTAAAACCCTTCCTCTTCAGGATGAGCTACGCTGCCTTCAAGATGATGCACTGGCCTACGGGCATCGAGAACTGCGCCTCGGGCTTCATCACTCACTCTCCCGCCGACGCCGCCGCCTCCGTGATCCTCCCTCATTTGCAACCCGACGACCTCGACTCCGATTTCGCACCAACGCGACGAATCGGTCCAATCCCCAACCTCGTCGTCACTGCCGGCAATGTGGTCGAGGTCTACATCGTTAGGGTTCAGGAAGACGACGCCAGGGTCTCCCAGGCCCCAATAGAGCCTCGAGGAGGGGGCGGCATCATGGACGGGCTTCGTGGGGCCCGCCTGGAGCTAGTCTGCCATTACAGGTTCAGTTCACCTAGCTTGATTATTTCAGAACTGCAATTTGTTAAATCCAACTATTTGATTGCTTGAAATTAGTAAGAAAGGATGGAATTCGAGCCAATATAAGTTGAATTGGTTAAGACATTTGGCAAAACCAGTGGATAGAGGCAACTCTTTTTGGACGGCATATGTTACCCTTAACCAGATTTAAATTTATTTGAATAACGCTTAATTCATTGTTTAATAACTCAAAATGTCCAATACATGATTATTGATCCTCTAGACCACCCAGAAAAAATTTCTGGTCGGGGTTTTCGTTCAAATCCTGAACTTACAAGAAGTCATTCATACTTCAAATAGTAGATAAGTAAACCTGCTTTGGTAAAAATGGGTCATAAATGCATCTGATAAGGGGTTTTACTATTTTGTGATAGGAGAAATGTGATGGAGTGTCAATTAGCCATGTTCTGTTGGATATAACAACTTCATTCACGTTGTGTTACTATAGGCTTGTTTGGCAGCCTCCTAAAAATGGGCCCACGTTTGATCTTGGTCCCATTTTTTGGAAGAAACTTGTTTGGGAAAAACCGGACCAAAGTTGGGCCAGTTTCTCCTATGCCAAAAATGACCCTTAAAACTAGTTTCTTTTTTTTATTCACCCTCCATTAGATCAAAATCGAACTAGTTCATCTCTAAACTGTGCTAGGGTCAATCCTGGCCTAGTTTTGAGGAGTTTGCCAAACTAACCTACTAAGTCGTGAATTCTTTTTTGGTCCTTTAGATTTATTTTTTCCTTTAGCCTTAGAGTCTATTTTTATACTAGATTTGTCATCTTTCTTTAACTTCTAGCCTCTTTCTTGTCTAAGAGGTTTTTTTGGGAGTTGCTTCTAGATGTAACACGTATTTCTTTAGTTTGATCTGTCAAACACACACTAACGAAGTTGTCGGCCATGAAAGATTTAGCAATCAATTGTTTCTATGCGGATCTATATTGCACTCACAAGAAGGTGATCGTGGGGATGAGATGGGGGGTGGGGTTGTCCAACATTTCCCCTCCAATGCTTAAGTTTAGTCTATCGAAGGATAAATAAACAATGGAGAGATTTAGTTGTGCATACCTTTCTCTCCCAGACAAGAACGTTTACACTTTAGGTGATGTTTTAGGCCTTATCCTAATATCTCATTGTGATTGAATATAAGTCTGAAGGTTTCATTATTTTGTCAGCCTATGCAATAACAACAAGCTTTGAGTACACATGGTTAACATCACAAGGAGTAAGGACAGAGAGTTTATAGAAATCTGACACTAAAGAGAGCCTTTCATCAAAAAGCATGAGGAAGGTTTTCTTTATCTATCAGAGATCCGGATATGTCCTTGTTCCTTGCAATGAATGAGAGAGGCGAGCACCTCCTGCCTTGCTTTTCTAGGAGACTCCATAATTCCAACTACTCCAACACCACGGTTCGGAGGACGACAAAGTTCACCATTGTGACGAGTGCAATTGTGTCGGTTCTGGGACTTCTTCGAGAGGGAAAAATTCCTCAAGGACCCAAAATATGGGACCAATAGGGGGACAAGTGAGGTGTCCCCCTCCTATTGGATAATGAGTTGGCCATAGGAGAGGGACACCTCACTTGTCCTCCTTATTGGTCCCATATTTTGGGTCCATGTAGCAAAGCTCCTTCGAGAGGTCTTTACCTTAAGGTGCGAGTAGGATTCTTCTTGGTGTTTGATTTGGCAATTGGCATGGTTGTTTTGAACTAGTCCGAGTGGATGAAGTTATTCTTGCTTATCCAATGTTTCTTTAGAGACTTGTTTAAATGTGCTTTGACGATATTTGATTTCGACCATTGAATATGGACTTAAAAAAAGCACTGAATGTGGAGTCTTTCTCACAGAAGATGTCTATTGAAATGTTGCTCGAGTCCTTTAGTTTGATTGTTTGGATATATCACAATGAGTTTTTAGGATAGGATGGACTAAGCAATCAACCACTTCCACATAGATCTATACACAAAAAAATGTGATCATCGGGGGTCGTTGCCCGCTTTGCCTCTTCAATGCTTTAGTTTGTTTCTTTTAAGAGCTAATAATCGAAAGATTTAGGGTTTAGTTGTGTGTACCTCTCTTTTTGTAGAGAGAATGTTATCCCTTTTGTGACGATTGTTTTTGGCATTACTTGCGTCATCATTATTGATTCAAAGACTAAAGACCCCTTTGCTTTGACATCCTACTAAATAATGGCCAACTTTTAATGCATGCAATTACTTTACATTTTGATTTTTTAGACAAATTATTAGATAGTTAAGACAAAAAAAATTATTGGATTGTTACAATTTTTTGATGTCCATCACAACCATTTCTATCCTTATAGTTCTATAACATAGTGGTTGTGTTATAGTAATGCTCAATATCCTTCAAATCTTCAATGACATCACCCCTGTGGTTCGTCATACTTTGCTATTGTTTTAGGGTTAAGCATCAATCTTTCTATCATGCTTCTCACTTGAAGGCCAATATGAAAATTTCCGGATTCGCAAGCTTGACCTCTAGGGTTGTTGGCCTTGTAGCACTGCTTGGATGCTCAACCTTACCCTACATAATCAATAAGTGAATATTTAAAAACCCCTTATTTGGTTATATGAGCCAATAAATATGAGAGAATCTATTGAGATAGTATGTTCATGTGCAATAAAGGTCACAAAATGCATTGTTTAGGAGGGATATTCATTGGGATAATTTGGGGACAACTGGGACAATTTGCTCTCTAGGACAATTTTAAACCATCAAGAAAATTTAAATTAGACAAAACAACATAAATTGGGATAATGAAATAATTTGAAACTAGGATTGAGACAATTTAAGTGGGATAGCTGATGATGTGATGCCTTAGCATTGGTTCAAGGACTGGGACTACAAATCATAAAAAACTTTGTGTTCATATTTATACTAGTCTAAAAGGAAGGGTTTAATTACTCTCTTGTTAGTTATGCCAAGCCTGGTGTTTGTCTATAATTTTTTTGGTTTAGGAATTCGTCATCTACTTGGAGTGTTGAAATTAGGCCAGCAATCGGACCCTGTCATTTATAATTTACATTTTTGAGCTGTAAGATTATTAGTATTTATTTGGTTGTTTCTTCTCCGAACTGTTTTGTTTTTCCTATTGTCATGTTTGAGAAAACAAGGAGCATCTGCCTAATTAATTTGTTCGGCAATGTAACCATTACAAGTGGGACTGATGCAAGTAGTGTTGGAACCAAATTAAATTGAATATTGAGGTGTTCATACTTATTTGTGAAAGATCATCAAATCCAAATCCAAATTTTCTTCTCCAAATTTGGATGTACATTTCCTTTAAATATTTTGTTGAAAACTAAAATACACGTATAATTGATTTGATTTGTTATTTTAATAGTTTCTGAATATTAGTTATTTGATTTGATAGTTATTTTCATTCAATTAAAGAATTGAATTCTTTTCATTGCATAAAATTTTTATTTAGAAATCAATCCTCTACAACAATATATAAGCTATTTGAATGTTTGGTTAAATGGTTATTTTGAGAAGAAGAGAGAACCAAAAATAGTAGAACAAGTTCTTTATTTTTCTATTCCTGCTATTTGTCAACACCTAGAGGATACATCATCTTCATCTGTTTGGTTGTAAATTAAATGATACCAGAAGTTTGCTATTACTTTTAGTTTTTTTTCCTTTTTGCATGTCACTACCAGTATGCTTCCCCCCACATTTATTGTTTTACATTAATATTGGTGAATCATTTTTATGCCAATGGGCTTTGGACTTCCTTCATAGGGTGCATGGCTCTTCTATTATGATATTTCTTCTGCTATTTATTGTTATTCATACCACTATTTGTAATCATATCAAGCTAGTCCCAGATTCTTATAACTTGTTTATTTCCCCCTACAGCTGTGTTACTTAGTTTGTCTTTCTTATTAAATTCTTGATATGTAGTATTTGAAGTTCTTTAATAAATTGGCATCTTGGTTTGTTTGTAGATTGCATGGGAATGTTCAATCCATGGCGGTGTTATCTTTGGGAGGAGATGAACGAAGTAAGAGACGAGATTCAATAGTTTTGGCATTTCAAGATGCCAAACTTACTGTTCTTGAATATGATGATTCTACACATGGATTGCGCACTAGGTAATGATGATATATTGGCAATGATCTTCTCTTTGTTTGGCAAAGAGAACTATATTTAGAGTTCCTTTTCTCCTGTTCAAAAGAAACATTATTTCTAAACTTCATTCATCTTATTTGGTAAGCTGAGTCAAGGAGTAATATTAAACATAGCTTGCTGTCCTTTCTTTCTGGTTTCTTGGTAGCAAATTTCATATTATGAGTTTTTATGTCTTCTTAGTTTGCAAACTATACGGTTATTCCTTTGGTACATCATGTTACCACTTACCAGTGATTGAGGAGATGATATTTCTATAAGTGCCTAAATTCTGTTGTAGTAGATAATAGTTTATATGGACACCTGCAAGCTCACCTAATTGCAATAACTGAAATCATAAGATGTTCTAGGTTATGATAACGTGCGAGCACATTACTTTCTGCGTCACAGTAGGATTCAAAGAATTATTAGCATTGTTAATTCTTGTAATCTTTCTGAAAGGTACTACCTTCTTTAGTTGGATACTGTGGACAATCTTCAGTCTTTCTTCAACCCCTTTTTGTGTTTGGCTTGTTATGTTTTCGAGATATATGTTAATTTCACCATTATGATAGTTTGATATGCTGTCACTCTTAATGTGGCAGAACATTTGGTTAACGTAATTTCTCTGCTATAGCTATTTGGCCATTGCATTTATTCTGTGGAGTATGCTTCCTTGCTTATATCTCATTGTTCATCTTTTCAGTTCAATGCATTGTTTTGAAGGACCAGATTGGCTTTTCCTGAAAAAAGGCAGGGAATCATTTGCTATGGGCCCTCTAGTAAAGGCTGATCCCTTGGGTCGATGTGGTGGAGCACTTGTCTATGATCTTCAGATGATAGTTCTCAAGGCTGCTCAGGTTGCAATTTCCTTTTTAGTGTCTCTTTGTAGAACTAAAGATATGTGGTGATATATGGTACATCAGTATGCTTTATAGGAGTAGTATTGCTCAGTGACATGCAAGCATGACCAACAGGCCAGTTCAGGGCCCATTCGAGGCTTGGCTGGGGCCCAGATGTCACCCCAGCCAGCTAGAGACTCAGGTGTCCCGAGTTAGAGTCCTTGGGTACCCAGGTTAGAGGGTCGGACCAATGGCAGGCTAACAAAACCTGGTAAATGATTATTGCTGTTCCAGACTCACAGCAGTTATACTTATACACACCATTCTCGATATGTATAGTCTTGTATTGAAAATTGAAAGTAGTACAAATATATATTCGTGTATCTAATAATCAAAGGCATTCAGATTTCTCCAATCGTTACTAGTTCAGTTAAAATGTTACACAAGTTTTTATATTTGAATAGTTTTTCTTAAGTCCTTCATTTTGCTAGTTTTATAACTCCACAATCCTGGTGTTGCTAATTCTTTTTTATATATATATCTTTAAAAAATCTCAATGCTTTCAGGGGTTGTAATAATATACTTCTGAAGTTATTCTTACCGTAAGTGAAAAGAGTTGTTAATCAATTTTCCGTCTTTTCCCTTTTCCGGGTGAGTGGATGGTGGCGGTGGCGGCTGTGGCAGTAGTTTTAGTAGGTCACAAGAGCTAGTTCTTGAAAGGACCCATAGAATCTTGAAATCAATTAAATCTCAATATTCTTTCTCCATTAATTTTTTGAATTTTTTTTGTTGCTTTAAAGATGCTGTCTTCTACTATTCTTAAAGTTTTCTATGATTTATTCATGATTTTGTTAATTTCTTTTTCCTAGACTGGCCAAGGACTAGTTACAGATGATGAGCCTACTAGCGTGGGAGGTAGTACTGCTGCAGTTCGTATAGAGTCATCGTATGTAATTAACTTGCGGGAGTTGGATATGAAGCATGTTAAAGATTTCACATTTGTACATGGTACGACAGCTACATATTTCTTATTTTGCTTAAATTATGCTTGTGATTTGATGTGTATGTTGTCCATTCTGAAGGGTGGTGATATTTTGTATACAAAGTATGGACGTGAGTAGTTAAGTGAATTATGGATGCGCTGTTATTGCCTAGTGTCTGCTTTTCATGCATCATGCATCATGCTGATACAGTTTACATATGCTCAGCATTGTAGGAATTGGCATTTCTGAGAGCTTACGCTAATTTGTACCCAAGATTTCAATTTACTATTTATATGTTCAACCTATAATTGTTCCATTGAACATCATTAAATTCATCGAACTATACTGCTGGATAATTTTCTAGAGCTTGATCTACATCCAAGAGGGTTGCCTAGGAAATAGATGGTTCTGTGAAGGATTACAATTGCTCCAAGATGGTAGAAAAACACCCTCTTTCACGAAAAGGATAAAGGTACTAGGTTATCATCATATAAGCCTATGTACTTGGCATCTCATTTCCAAACATCTGCCTTCATTCTCTCTATTTCAAGATTCTTAATTATAGTTCTCCATATTTCTAATTTAGGCCGTGTTTTTAACAAAAATTGGAACATTTTACTTCCACAGTTACTGACCCAAATAGTAGTTGGGTTTTTGAATTATTCTTTGTTATTTAGTTATAATATAACTTCATTCACTTCCTCTGGAGGCTTCTACAAGTTCTTGCTCACAAGTTTTCATCCATCTCAACTTATTATATACCCTCCTGACATGAATTTTCAGTTTCAATGATAAAGATGTATATGCACTGTATTGTATTAATGCCATTACTCTTCTTGTTTTCTGACCTTGACCCCTTTCTTAAGAATTCCTTTTCGAATTGCAAATTTACTAATCATTGCTTTTGTCTAGCATTTATATTGCAATGTGCAAATCAATTTAACTGAGATATTTCTTAGTTCTTTCTTTATTTTATAATGCTAAATCCTTTTTGCTTCCATATACACGACTGTTGTCCTCTGAAACCTCCTTTCCCCTTTTTGAGCAGGTTATATCGAACCTGTTATGGTCTTTCTTCACGAAAGGGAGCCTACTTGGGCTGGACGTATCTCATGGAAGCATCATACATGCTTGATATCTGCCCTAAGCATCAGCACAACCCTAAAACAACATCCTTTAATTTGGTCTGCTGCCGTAAGTTGGTTGAATTCGAATGTTTAAATGACCTACTCTTTTTTGTTACATCTATGTATCTACCATGTGATTGCAACTTACTCGCAACTTTTAAGTCTCTGCGATCGTGTGAAACATAATTTCATAAATTCCATTAAGTCTCTGCGATCTATGAAACATAGTTTCATAAATTCCAATTGCTAAATGATCGATCCGGAAATTTGTTTTCAGCATTTTCTGAATGACCAAACTACAAACTGGAGGCACTATACCTATTACTGTACTAGGATAGTCGCATATTGGAAACTTTCATGCATTTTTAGAACTGGTTTGTGAATTCCCATTTGTATTTATTTTTATAAAATTGGAAAGATCCATGCAGTGTACCTGTTACCATTTGCTTTTATCTACGTTCTAATGTTGTTCTGTTATAAACTATTGGAAGGAATTGTTAGAAACAAAAACAATGGGTATAATAACAAAGTGACAACTGAATTTTGTTGATAAAGTACGATGAAAATGTATTTCTAGAGAGCCTTTTATCAATGTTCCATTTTCATTCTGTTATAAAATATGTGGAATGAACTGTTAATAAAAAAATTTAAAGAACTGTTATATTAATAAAGTGAGAACTGAAACTTTTTGTCCAAAAGCTGTTGAAAAATGTGTTATTTTGTGTTTATAGAGAATATGTTGAGATGAAACTGAATAATAAAGGGTTTTTTAATGTAGTGGAGGGCTTAAGATATGAAGCAGTGTAGGGTTTATAGAGCAAGAGGCGATTAAACAGCTCTACAGAAAGGTTTGTTTTTGGGATTGTTCAGGGGCTTCATCAAATTTGGACCTGATGGTTTCAGATTCATAGTCTCTTGCAATTTAGTTTTGTAATTGGCTACAAATCTGTGAAGAACTATTCAGGGGGTGTTTCGGGTTCTGATCTGATTAGGATTAGGGATCCTATCAAAACAAAAAAGGAAGTCAAGAGATTGGGAAAAGAAAAGTATGCATGGATTTCACACCCTATCAACAATCAAGTGCAAGGGGAAAACACCTCTTCATGAGATCAATGTTTTCAATTGAAAAATATAGATGACTCTAGGCAATAGGATTTGATCTAATGGTTACAAACTATTTTTTTATCAAATATTTAAAATCACAAGTTTAATTTATAATTCAATGTTTTTAAATTGATGTAAGGGAACACAAATAATACTTCCCCTCTCTTGGTTATTTCAAAAATAGATCAACCATTGAGAATACAAAAGCAAGTTTTCGAATTTAAAAACTTGAACGAGATCTTCAAATCATCGTTAAATTGATTGAGATGAACAGAACGATAATAGATGGATTAATATTTGTAGGAAAAGTAGAAAAAATTCTTTGAACAACATATAAGAAAAAAATATCAAAACATAAACAGAGGAGATGATCAAGAAATGTTCCTTTTAAGGTTTAAAGGAAATTATTAAACTAAACAAGTTTAAAATTCAAGAGTAGTTATCGAGATAAGTTACTCATATATGGTAAATTGATTACAAAGACGTAGGTTTATACCATCTCTTTTCTTTGCTTACATGGAGGTTAATGCGGAGATGACCAAACACCAACATAGTAAGGGGTGGGTAGGGATGTGGGTGAGAGCATTCAATATGATGGAAGAAACTTAAATGTGAAGTCTGTGAACTGTAGCAATCAACAAGTTGGGTCTATAGTTGCAATACGTGTGTATACATACAGAACTATACATGCATGTGTGTGGATGGGTGCATGTGTGGATGCGTGCATGCGAGTGGGTGCAGGTGTGTGGACTCTTGCGTGTCGTGCGTGCGTGCGTGAGCTTGCGTGCATGCGTATTCAGCTGATTGAGTTTTATTCCTTATTGGGTATGATAATGATACATGCTCCCTTTCATTTTAGTTATAAGGTTGTAAAAGATGCTAGGTGGAATGTTATGGGAAGGGTGTTATTTAGCTAACTAGATACTGTTTATACTTAATAGGTGCCACAAAATTGTTAAGAGGAATAAAAAAGAACATGAAGAGGCGGACATAGGAGGGAGGGAATAAATTCATTGAGAGAGTGATTACTAATTGTATCCTTCATCCTGCTTCATATGCTGTCCTAGAAGAGAATAGAAATTGAGAAGGGGAGGAAAAAATATTGAGAAGGATTTTTTTTAATGAGGAATCAATCCTTCTACTTTGTTGGGGGGAAACTACCTACTTTAGAGATCCCAAACCTTGTTATGACTGGAGCTTTTCGCATTGAATTACCATTTTCCATTATGTTTTATTGATATTTTGACTTTGTTAATTTCTATCCTTCGTTTGTTGCATTTAAAAGGTTAGCCTAATATGCACAACTCTCTATATAGGGTCAGAGCAATCTTTTCCCGTATAGTGCTATGCAAAGATGTCCTCTTCATGAATTTAAATTTAGACTTTATTAATTTTTTTTGTTCGTTTGGACCTAAAGTCTTTAGACCAAAGTTGTTGAAAGCGAAAAACAAAGCAAGGTGCGACAAGATGGCGTTTAGGATTTTTTAGGAAAAGGCATCAAAACAATATTGAAGGGAAGAGGCGGTGGATGAGGTTGAAGGTTAATGACAAGGTCACTAGTTGAGAGGAGGCGGCGTTGGGTGAAGTCAATGGTCAAAGTCAAGGTTGAGAGGAGACAGGGACAAAGTTTTGAGAGAAGGAGAAAGAACAAAAGGAGAGGAAGATGCAGAGTAGCTGAAGCAACATTTGGATTAGAATTTGGAATTAGGATGCGGATTAAGTTTCTTGGCCACTTTTGTGACCTTGATGCCTATTTTTCCCGATGGTCGCTTTTGAACATGTTTTTATCCAGAAGAAAGTGATACAACCACTTAATAGGGCACTTTGGCCCCGAGCAAAGTAGTTCTGTGCCTCCAAATGCATAAGCGTCCACTTAAGCGAGACTTTTTAATGCTTTTTATAGCATTGCTCTAGATCGGTGATGAT